GTCCTCGTTACCGGATTTAGTTACCGGAACCGGGTCTTACCGGAACCGGGTCTTACCGGAACCGGTTTTACCGGAAATTTCCAAAGGTTCCGTCCGGTCCCTTAGTTACCGGATAGGAACCGGTTTGGACTGGACCGGAACCGGTTCTTACCGGATCATTGTGTACCGGTAATTTTTATTTATTTTTTATTAACTTTAATTATTATATAATATTATATTATTAATTAATAAAATTATATTATTAAAAAACTTCAATTTAAAACTTTAAACTTTAAAGTTTAAAATTGACTTTAAAGTTTAAATTTTAAAGTTTATATTGAATTTAAAGTTTAAAATTGACTTTAAAGTTTATATTGAATTTAAAGTTTAAACCTTAAAATTCAATTTTATATTAAAGTTTAAACTAATATTAAAATAGTTGAAAATTAAATTTCTAAAATGACTTGGATTAAATATACTATTTTTAAAAAAAATCAAGGCTAATAGCCGTATATTTATTCAAATAAATAAATTGTACAATACAAATATTAGAAAGAGACAAAGAGTACATAATCTAGGTATTGAATATTAATTATTGTACTAACAATTGAAACTTTTTTTAAAATCTTTTCGTAACTTTTGTATCATTTCAAAAGAAACATTTTTTGGAACTTGTATTTGTCGTTCTTCTTCCATTGCTTCCATGACATCATCACTATTATCACCAAATATTTCATCTATTTCGTCTTCTATTTGGCTATTTAATTGTGGTAGTCCGGTATTTCTTCTTTCGGCATTGACTCAATCTCGAAACAACCCCGATATTTCCAAACTATCCTTTGCTAATGAATATCGATGATCTTCAATCATAAATCTCGCCGCACTAAAGGCTTGCTCCGAAGCGACCGATGATGCTTGAATCGCTAGCACATCTCGAACAATCCTAGCAAGGGTCGGAAATTGATTTTCACGATTCTTCCACCATACTAATATTGGAGCTTGAAGTTGTCCTTCTTCATGCCTAATCTTTTCCCGTGCCTGGTTGAAATATAAATCAAAATATTATTAGTAGATGATTCAAGCTCAAGATAATCATCCATCCAATCATCCGTAGCATCACTTCTAGGTTTACAAGATGGAGGTTCAACTATTGGAATATTTTTTTTCCATAGATTTATATGTATTATATAACTCTCTAGCTTTTATATACGTGCTACTTTTACAATCTTCAATACTAGGAGTTTCATCATCTTTAATTTCTAAATTGCATAAATCTTTTCAACCATTCTTTCAACACCTTTTAATTTGTAATTTGGATTGAAAGTAGTAGCAGTCAAATAGATTTGAGGAATAGGGAAAAAATATTTTTTGAATTTTTCAATCATAAAAGCAACGGAATCTTCAAATCGATCTTTTCCTTTATATTTTGCAAATTCAGATAAAATAACACAAATATTTACTAAAATAGAAGAAATAGTTCAAAAGCAGCATTTGTTGCTTTATAAAAAACACTTAAAAATTCAATAAGTTCTTTTGTATTTTCCCAATCTTCATAGCCAATTCTCAAATTCGGGTCCGCATTATGAGCATTAAAAACTAATTGTACCGGCTCTTGATAAATATAAGCAACTTGAAGCATTTCAAATAAAGAATCCCATCTAGTGCATACTTCTTTTGGAACTTTTATATATTCAAGTCCACATTCTTTACAATGATTTTTAAATTCTGTAATTCTAGCTTTTATTTTAGCTTTAAAAATCCAATTACAAGCAAGTCTAATTTTTTCACAAGAAATTCCAAATTGAGAAATACCATCTTTTACTATCAAATTATACACATGTGCGGCACACTTAATATGAAAAGAATCATTATCAATTGGACAAAGTCTACATTTCAAATAATCAATTGTTTTTAAATTATTAGAAGCATTATCTAAAGTGACACTCATTATTTTATCACATATTCCATAAAATTGTAAAATAGAGATTATTTTTGTTGCTATATAAGAATCGGTTTTAGTTTCTTCAACATATTTATATCCTAATATTCGTTTTTGCATGTTCCATTCATGGTCAATCCAATGGACAATAATTGTAAAATAATCATTACCATTAGGACTACGTCCCATATCAAAAGTAATAGCTAATGTACCATCATAATAAACAAATAAACAACGAAGAAAATGACAATATTCTTTTTGATATTTAAAAAAATCACTTTTAATTGTACTTCTTGGAATACCTTCATAATCTGGGTTATACAATTCCCGAATATACTGAATAAAACTAGGATGTGAAGGAAATGAAAGAGGCAAACCACAAACAACAACCATTTTAGCTAATTCTCTATGATCTTTTTCTTTACTATATGTGCGGTGTGTGCTTCGGCTAGCCGGGTTAGTCATATTTAATACACTTTGAACCATATTAGAACCTCTAACTCCCATAGAATTTTCAGGTATGGATATTCCATTTCTATTAGCCCTTTCTATATCATCTAGGCGAGCAAATTATTTATTACACTTTCTCAAATGTGTTCTTAGTCGTCCCGTTCCCCCTTGTGTACCCGTAGTTACATGTTTCATGATCAATTTACATTTCGTGCAAGTAACAGTAGTTTTTTCCTCATTTTGTACCAAAAATTTCCATACTAATGATCTTTTAACACGTACAACGGTCTTTGAAAAAGTAGGTAAAGAGGGGACTTCATCTTGTTCCGGTAATTCGGTAGCCGGACTAGTAGGGGTAGGGGTCTCATCATCTTCCTCATTTATTTCTACTTCCTCATCTAATTCTTCCTCAAAATTAGTAAAACATCTATTTAAAGTTTCATGATCTACTTCATTTTCGGAATTAAATTCAATAGGTCATGAGTCTCGTGTAAAAGAAGTTTCATCAACATGGGTATAATCATTAGTATTAATTCTAAATCTAGGAGGTGGCAAATTTTTAGAATTAGAACTACTTCCTCCTCCCCTATTATTTATTCTTTCCGACATTGGTCTTTTACCACTATATTTTTCCAAATTTATGTTCAAGTTTAAAATAATTAATATTATGAAAAACAAGCAAAGATAATATAACGAAAAAAATAAAATAACTTAATTAATAAACAAATAAAAAATTAAAGTTGGAACGAATGTACCGAACGTCTACGTAAAAGTAGACGTATAACCAAAGCCGGAATTGAGAGATGCCAATTGAAGCTTCCGATTTACTTCAAATAAATCTCCGAAATTCAAACTCCAAGTCAATATCACAAAATAATAATTATGAATTTATGAGAGATTGAAAATTAAGAGATTTTATAAGATATTAATGAAATAGTTTGTGAATTTGTGATTTAAATGAAAAAATATGGGTATATTTATAGTGTTAAGGGGTAGAGAGGGGCGGGGGGCTGTTTGGAGCTGTTTTGGGCCCTAGCCCAACGGCTAAAAGGGCCCAACGGCTTTATAACGTTCCTTTTAAAAATAAATAAATAAATTTAAATTGACCGTTGAACCGGACAGGAACTGGTTCTTACCGAACCGGATCAACCGGATAAAAATCCGGGTTTCGTTTCGGTACCAGTTCCGGTACCTATAAGACCGGTTCCTTACCGGTTCAATCGGTACCGGACTTACCGGTACGGGAACCGGACCGGACCGAAAAAAAACCGGTCCAATTGCCAGCCTTAACTCTAACTCAAGTCTATATAAAGGGTACATATTCCCTTAAAGAAGCATATTGAATATTTCATAAACTCTTGGGATGTTTGTAACGAGATCAAGATATAGTCATAGCTAGACTCTTCTTGAAAATCAAATACTTCAAGAAGATCCACTAAATCTTCTTTACATGGAGATCAAATCATTTTCAAGGAGGTATAAATCATCCTATGTTCGAAAATACGTTACTAACAATCCTTGATCATGGATAAAATTAGAGATAATTAAGGAAAGAACATAATTGTACTCATATTATTTTGACAATAAAATTATGCTTCTTCATATTTTATTTGTGATTGTAATTTATCCTTTATTTTTAATCACTTTAAAATTTATTGCAAATATACATATCACTAATTATGATTTTATAAAAGATAAAATACGTCTTAGATTAAATGTAAACCCCTTGTATAAATAACTTTTACCCAAAAAAAAGCTTACAGAGAATAAAAAAATAATTAACATATTTTCAAGAATAGGTATATCCTTAAAAGAATAAATAATCACATCTTTCCATAAGCGATCATATAATTTTCATTTATAATCAGAAGAGAAACCTAAAGTGACGTTTTTTGTATGATAAGAATTAACTCTTGGGTTATGTTTAGGGGAACTACAATTATGAATTATGATTTGTGATAATGCTGTAAATTTGAGAATTTTGAAGTGTTTACTATAGCTTCCTGGACGTATTTACCGTGTCTTCTAATACTCCCTCCATCCCATTTTATATGTCACATTTTTACTTTGCACTTGCATTAAAAAATTATGTAACTTTACCCTTCTACCCTTATTTAATTTTTTGGAACTCAAGTTTTCAATCAAGGAATATGAATTAATTTATTTTGATTAATTAATTTAACCAATGAACATGAATCATTTACTTAACTTTTCTAAGTTGGTCAAATGTATGTTTTCAATGCTAAAAACTCACAAGGGTAAAAAAATGAACAATATGCTAATTTATGCATTGATTTTATGAAATGACAAATATTATGGATCAACTATTTATAGAAAGGGATGACATATAAAATGAGACGGAAGGTGTATTACTTTTCCTTTTTTATAAAATTGAACATTCTAGTACAAAACTACCAACTACCTTATTTAATGTGTCTGCAATAAATATTTAACTACATGATTGATCGATATTTATTGATATGGGCTAACATAACTAATCAATTACCGTATGATATGAGGCCAAAAACCTCTGGTGTCTTGATATGGGCTAACATAACTAATCAATTATACCATACATTTTTTGGGTTTATAAATAGCTATATACATTCATAACAAAAATCACACAATCACAAGTTCCATTTCCACAATGTCAATCAAGCAACTATTTCCTCTGCTTCTCATCTGCATCGCGTTGGCCGCCACGGCCACGGATGCAGCTGTCTCGTGCAACACGGTGTATTCTAGCCTAGAACCATGTCTTGGTTTTGTGCTAAATGGTGGACCAACCGTGCCTTCAGCATGTTGCAGTGGGCTTAAATCTCTCCTCGTTGCTGCGGGTACCACAGCTGACCGCCAGAGCGCTTGCAAATGCATAAAGAGCCTTGCTTCAAGTGCTAATGGAGTTCAAATTGGCCGTGCTTCTCAACTCCCTGGAATATGTAAGGCTAATATTCCTTACCAGATTAGTCCAAATGTTGATTGCTCAAAGATCACATAAGAGGCATTTTATATGAATTTATTTACCTGTTATTTTAGTGCGAGTGGGATATTTATGTCCCTTTATTTCCAAGACACTATTAAATAAACTCGAATAATATCACATTTTGTATGCTTTGTTATTTTAGCAATTAGTTAAATTGGCATTTGAATAAATAATTTCTTCCACCCTTTTTTTTTTGGTTTATTTATCCATCTTTCAATTAAATCTGATCACTTATTTAAAAGCATTTATGCAACAACACAACATAATACAGTATGATACTATACATTGTAACAATACGTAACAACCATTTAAACAAAGTGTTAACTTGCCCATCCGATGAAACCCGATCCACTAACGTTAAATCGTGGATTGAAGGTGTCGATGCCACTGATTTTTTTGCTCTGTTTTTCTCGGTTGTTTTACGGTGGAGGAGATGGATGTTTTAGTGGTGTTTGTGGGATCTCCACCAAGTATGTCAATTAACAGTGATTAGGGATGATGGTTGAAAAGAGTTAATACTGATGAAGCTAAGATTAGAAGTTTGAGGATTCTAAATTTTAAGATAAAAGAAAAAGATATTGCAAAACATGTTTTTTTTTTAAAAGAGAAACTTTTGTTGATATAGTGGAGTTCGAAAATATTTTCACGGACATTTCCTTATCATTGAGTCGTCAATCAATTTTTATAAAGGTTAACAAGTTAATATACATATATATTAATTTAATTTTTTAAATACAAATACAGAATCAACAGAAAAACTATTGGGTCCATGCAAATACACAAACATTCACTTAGCTCCGCCTATGCTGATCACCTTTTACTATTCCATTTTTTTTATCCGTCAGAAGCGGGTTCTTTTGTGCCAAGTGGATCTTTTTGTTTCGCTAATAATTGAGATTCACGGGCATGAAATTTAACTGATTTGGGGCAAGTATAATCTCAAAGTTGGATGATAAATATAAATATATTTAAAAATATCACGAATGACAAATATAATTTTTTTAATGAAATTACATGAGCAAATATAGTGCTTTTCGATAATTTAATGTATACTCAATAAGAAGCTGCAGAATCTCTCAAATTTTATTTTATAAAAATTTAGAGTGAAATAGGAAACTAAGAGACTCGATCTCAAAATAATTGGTCATCAAAGGATGTAGTACAGTGGATGGGATAGCTCCTCCTTTAACTAAAGGTGAGCCTTGGATATGAAAAAATCTTTGGTAGAGGGCATCCTCCCCCCCCCCCCCCTAAATGGGGCCCTACACGGGGCAAATCCAAATACAATTAAACTTTAATGCGGATATCGAACACCAAATAAAAAATCAAAATAACAAAAAAAAAAACTCGAAGAAACTGAAAAGATAAAGAGCCAAAAGTGAAAAATTTAAGTATTAGATTTTTTTTGTGTGTGTGTTAGAAGTATGGTAAATATTTATTCGTATTGAATGTATACACTTGACCAATTATCTTAATGGACCTATCTTAATCTTAGTTAACTAAAAAATGGATTAAAAAGACATATCTTTAGGATGTGGTCGGTATCAGGGAAAACATTTTAGTTTTCCAAATTTTTCATCGTAGTTCAAATATTTTCTAAAAATAAATAAGTTTCTTAAAAACGAGAAAAAAATAAACCTTCTTATAAAAGTAGAAAAACTCTATTCATTAACACCCTCCAACAGACAACACTTGCTACATTATTATTTGCTCCAGTAAGTGTCAATACATTAATAGATGAATAACACGTGTCTTCGTAAATATGAAAGGCTGAGATTCTCTTTTAGTTTATACCCTATTTTTGGTTACATTTAATTTAATGACAATTTTTTAAATTGTTTTACCACATAAACATTATAATGTTGACAATATTGTGACATATATATAAGGTGTTGGTCTGAGGTTCTATTTGGAGAAAAATTACAAGATTATTACAATTGAAAATAAAATGAAGAAAATAAAATACCCGTGCATATCTCGTTCTCTTTAAGGAGATTTAAGTCCACTGCAACAAAGATTTTACACTGGTTCAACAATCGTTCTTCTTGACTTGTCCCTTCCAGGATATAACAGTCTAATCACAAAGTATAACTCAACAAATTATGGGCAAGAGTTGAATCTAAAAGATCCACAAAAAGAACACCTCCCTTCAACTAATAAGAACTCTCTTTTGACAATCTTTATACCCTCTATATTTTCTTGAGTCCAAAACAAATGAAGACCACCACTATTTATAGTTGAGGAAGTCTTCCTAACAATAAATAGGAAGTAATGGGATAGTAAATAGTGAAGATAGATCACAAAGAATAATGGAAAATAAAGAGTGAGATAATGAAGATCGAATAGAGGAGAAATGATGGTCACCAACGGCTAAGAGATGCTACCTGCACCAACATAAATGTTACAACAGCAAAAGAAAAACCTCTCACCAACAGTAGATGTTGACAGCAACATGGAAATGCAATATTTTGACCCCAAAACTAAGCAAATTAATTACAAAATATTAATATTAAAATGCTAACAAACCAACATATTTAAAACAACATATGAAAAAATCTTTACAAATAAAAAAAAAATTATTTGACTCAAAATTGAAACATAAGAAAATAAAAATTACTATTTAATTTAATACTCCATAAAAGAAGACGACAAAACTAATAACCATTTTGGTTCGTCAATTGCAGACTGAAATAGTGTTGAGCATTAAATGGAAAGAATCCCAGCCTTACATATTCTACCAATGCATTGACACTTATTGGAGCAAATGGAGCAAAGCCGCTCCCATCAATTTGCGTAATATAGTTAATGTATTAGGGTAAAAGATTAGTATAAATAGAGTTTTATCTTGTCTTATTAAGGTTTAGTCGTTTTCTCTAGTTTTTGTCATATGTTTAATGTATTTGGATTATCACACTATTTCAATGTTATTATTGCTTCTTCTTCTTTTTAGACTTAACACTATTTTTTCTTCCATTGTTTCTTCTACTTTTACTTGAGTTTGATGTACGTACTTGAGCCGAAGCTTTTTCGAAAATAACCTCTCTACCCACACGAGATAGTGATAAGGTTTGCGTACAACGTACACTCTACTCGAGTCAAACCCCATTTTATGAGATTTTACTAAATATGTTATTTTTGTTGTTGGGTATAATTTAAACACAGAATAAAAATAAAATTCTACCTGAAAATATTTATTGAAGATTTATAAATAATTAATGTATTTCCAACAATAGGTATATCGTTATTAAAGAAGTCAACTGTCTATCGACACGCCTGTTTAATTTCTAGCTAAAAGAAAATTTATATTTTTTTTGTCTAATTTTCTTTGTTTTGTTTTTCCTTATGATCGATCATATATTTGAAAATTACATTAAAAAAAATATTATTACCAATAAAATCAATAAAAAAAAACATAATTGCTCTTAGCTGGAAGTTGGGAGCCAGACAAGGTGGGGAATGAGAACGAATGGAGGGTAAAGAAATGAGGCCAAAAACCTTTGATGTCTTATAATATGGCCCAATTTGATATATAAATTATCATACCGTGTGTTCATAAATAGCTACACACATTGATAAGGAAATCACACATTATACTGGTCATCTCTACAATGTTAAACAAGCAACTATTCCCTTTGTTTCTCGTTTACATAGCGGTGGCCGTAGCCACGGCCACCGCGTCATCTAAAGCTGCTAAGGATACACTGGTCACGTGCAACATGGTGTATAGTAGCCTCGAACCATGTCTTGGTTACGTGTTAGGTGGTGGATTAAGCGTCCCGTCAGAGTGTTGCGGTGGGATTAAATCTCTCCTCAGCACGGGACGTACCATAAATGACCGCCAAAGCGCTTGCAAATGCATAAAGAGCGCTGGTTCAAACGCTAACGAAGCTCAAGTCAATCGTGCTGCTACACTCCCTAGAATTTGTAAGACCAATGTTCCTTTCAAGATTAGTCCACATGTTGACTGTTCTAAGGTCAATTAAGACACTCTTTTTGTGAAATTTAGTTGTTTTATTTATATGTTACTTTTGGATGCATAGTGAGATTGAATATGTTTGTATTAATGAGAGTGGGATATATATATATACTAGATATGGAACCCCGTGCCAGCACGGGGCCCAATATATGTTACTGTTTCTGTTTTAATTTATGTGGTACCTATAAGGAGAGAAAATTCATTGTGGTTGAGAAATTTATAAGAAGGCAGATTAGTGTTTCAAAGGGTAAGAAAAATTATTTGGAGAAAAAATCATTCTATTTATGGAATTCTTATCAAATTAGGAGGAGAACAAGCAAAAATTTATTTTGTGATTTGAAAAGAGAGAAAATTAGATATTATTTCTTTCAACCTCATTATTCTTCTAATTTCTTTCTTCTTTTATTTTGTCTTGATTTTTTGTATCTTTAATTAAAGTTTTTTTTTCTTATTTATCTTTAATTAAAGTTTATATATATTTTCTTAAAAAAGAATTTAAAAAGATGATCATATTTAGTTCCTTTCCTCATCAATGCTATTAATCTCATAATTAGTGTTATTTATATTATTTTCTTAATTACTTTTTTTTCTTTCATTTAATTATTTATTTGAAGAAATTAGTTATTATAACTTTATAAGAATTACACATGTATTTTTACATAATTGATTTGTTATTTTAAATTTTTTTGGATCATTCTTCCCTTAAAGTTTCTATCTATATGTATTAATAAAGCTAAAATAGAAAATGTGGGGTGACACCTTCTTAGCAATAGATACTTATTTATTCTTATCAATGTTTCTGACATTTTTTGTTATTTTTTCCTTAAAATAATTGTTGCCTCGATTTTTAGTTTTAGTTTTTTTTTTTTTTAGCTTTTTCTAATTTTAAAAGACTGAAAAATTCATATTGAAAATTTATAAAATATAAAAAATGATTTATTTAACTCCTATCATCATCAATATTATTATTAATTTCTTTTACTTCTTTCCTTTATCTTCATTTCATCATTAATGTAATTTATATCATTTTCTTATATATATATATATATATATATATATTTTATTATTATTATTTTTTTTGTGACAATTCTTAGAAGTTAGGATTACTATTTATTTAATTTTTAAAAAAATTGAATTCTTTTGTCATACTAAATACAACATGTTTTATTATAATTACATTCAATATATTAATCAATATGTTGTACGAATGAAAAGAAAATTATCATTTCACAAAAACAAAGGTTAAAATATAAATTATTATGATTAAGGAAAGATAAAAATATTATTCCAATATCCATAACCATATTTAATACATTAAAAATTAATTGAAAAGCTGTAAATGGAAAAGGAATCACCATTTAAAGAATCATTATTTTTAAATTTTTGGATCATTTCTTCTTCTAAAAGTTTCTATCCATATGTAACAATAAAGTTAAAATAGAAAATGTAGTGACACCATTCTTAGTAATAGATACTTATTTATTCTTATCAATTTTTTCTGACAATTTTGATTATATTTTTCTTTAAAATAATTATTGCCTCGATTTTTATTTTTATTTTTAACATTTATTTTTAATTTTAAAAGATTGGAAATTTTATGTTAAAAATTTAAATAATAGAAAAAATGATTTATTTAACTTTTATCATCATCAATACTACTACTTTATTTGACGTTTTTTCTAAATCTTCATCTCATCAGTAATGTTATTTATATAATTTTGTTAAATCACTTATTTTTTCTTTTTTAACTCTTTTATATATATATAAAAGTTGGATAAGTAAATGATGATGTGATATTTCTTAGAAGCTAAGATTACTATTTATCTAATTTCTCAAATTTTTGAGTTCTTTTATCATACTAAATACAATATGTTTTATTATAATTACATTCAATATAGTAAACAATATGTTCTAGGAATTAAAACAAAATTATCATTTCAGAAAAATAAATGTTAAATTATAATTTTATTATGATTCAGGAAAGATAAAGATATTATTTCAATATTCCATAACCGCATTCAATACATTAGAAATTAATTGGATATAACTGTAAATGGAAAATGAATCACCATTTAAGGAAAATAAATGTTTGCAATACCATAATAATTAAGGAGAGAGTAAGATATTATTTTAATATCCTAATTCGGAACTTTTAATCTACTACTCAATTAAAAAGAAAATGCATTTAATAACATAAAAAAGTTATGAGTTTAATATTTTTTCTCATTCTACTAATTCAATTCACTCAAACTTAATTTGAAAGATAAAATAACAGCTCCATTTTAATTGTTATCAATATATTTCAAAAAATTATCGTGAAAAGGCTTTTCTTGCACCTTATTTTAATTTTCATATACTATTATTATTTTTTCTGTCATTTTTCAATGATTTTTTTTTTGATTTAAAATTTAATTTCTTAAAACTCTGATGGTACAAATTAAGGTGGAGCAGAATATAATAAATGATGATTCTTCTACTAAATAACAAGATATAACAAAATTGAAAGGGTGAAATTTTTTTTTCAAAAAAATAGATAGGAAATTCTATTAAGGTATTATTTCGTCATTATTCAATATATTTTTAATAAAAATTTCATTTGTTGATGCATTTGTTTAGTACTCCCTCTGTCCCTAATTACTTGTTAACTTTTCCTTTTATAGTTGTCCCTAATTACTTGTCCATTTTAACAAATCAACAAAGAGCAAATTTTTTTTACCTATTATACCCTCAATTAAATCACTAATTACTTTGAAAATTGCAGAACTTTTCATCTACTTCATAATTAATAGGGATAAAAATGATAAACTCACTGTGTGATTAATTGATTTCTGAATAAATGTGTCAATTTAAAAGTGGACAAGTAATTAGGGACAGAGGGAGTATTACAGTGTTATTTCACATTACGAGATATTTCTTAGACATTTAAGGAGAATGGTACACCGAAATATATATTATATATTAAAGGATCAACTTCATGCAATGGAAGAATTTGTTATTAGCAAATATATTTGAACTTATTTGATAAAAAATATATTCTTCCTCATTTAATAGATGTAAAATTTGAAAAGCTTTATTTTTTTCACAATCTTCATAGTACTAAAACAAACAATAATATTACGATTAAACAACAGAGTAAATATAAAATTAATCAAAAATATTTAATTTTTAATGATCGCGCGAAGTGCGACCAAATTCTCTAGTTTAAAAAAAAAAGGTAAAATTTAAATGGGTCTACAATAGAATTCCTAGAAATCCAACTTGAAAAATTATGTTAAAAATGGAAAATAAAAAGTGAAATAAATTTAATTGAGAGTTATCCTTCGTCTGTCCCATTTTATGTGACACTTTTTATTTCTCGAGAATCAAATAGTTTAAGTTTGATCATAAATTTGCGTATGGTATCTTAAATTTTTTAAAAATGAAATTTATATATTTGTAAACTACGTAAAAATCAAAATATTATAATTCATAATAATTAATAATTCAAAATATTTTAAAGATCTATGAAAAATTTAAGATCAGAGATAAACTAAAGGGAGTAAAAGGGGAGAATGGAAAGTAGAAAAAAAGGGAAAAAATGAATATATAAAGAGAGAAACTGAGGAAAAAAAGTAAGAAAAGTAATTATTCATGTGAGTTGTTGTATATGTAGAAAGACACGTGTACAATTAATGAGCGACAATGAATTTTATAGTACAATTTGAAATGCTTTGTGTACAACTTTGTAGTGCCATGTTCGTCCTCTAAAGTCTCACTTCTAATAAGGAGTAAAGTAAAGTAAAGTAATATATATATATATATATATATATATATATATATATATATATATAATTTTTTTCTAAATTATAGTAATATTATTCTTATAATTAAAGTTAGATTTCCAAATATGCCCTTGGTGGGTTCTAAAGCAAAAGTTGATCATGGAATATTTTATCCATTAGTGGACCCATTTCAAAGGACCATTTACTGTTGCCTCTTCACACATAACTCCTTCCGTCATATAGTACCATATAAACTGCTTTTGGTACCATCCATTTGTGCTGTGTTAGTCCCATCAACTCCCTCTTCTATATAGGCTAGATGAGTGTTGCCCGTGCTAAGCACGGGCCCAACATTTTACGCTTTAAAGTAGTGGCGGCATGAACATATATACACAACTAAAAGGATTTCCAGCTATATTTATGCAAAAAGATTGTTTAATAAGTTTATGCGGGGAATGTCTTCATAGATCATATAGGCATAATGCTATTTGGTGTTCCTTCTCCGCCACCCTCCAATGTCTCCAATTCTACACAACCTGAACCACAATATTACATACACACATAAACAATATATCTAGAAAGTCAAAAACAAACCAACAACCAAAGCTGCTCCCATTAATATTACAGATACAACATTTCATCTTCAGCTAAAATGGTGCACATTCACGATAAAAATTGAGCTAGGAACATGATAAGAGCTTATGCCTTTTGGTGTTTTGATGATCTCCTCACAAGTGCAGGGACCTGGTCCTCTGCAGAGTATGAATACTCGTCCAGCTGTCAAAGTGTTGTACAACTGTAAAAGCTGTCTGCATCAGAAAGTTGGTGAAGCTGCAGAGTACTTCACCAATCAGAAGCAAGGAGGTTGCTTGTACGTTTGGTAAAAACTTTTCATGTCTAAATATTAAAAAAAAAACAAAAAAACAAACAAACTAATTCATTCATTCAAAAAGAGAGAGCCAACACGTATTCTCAAAGAACTTATTAAGAGAAGTTTGCAAGGGACCTGGTCCCTGCAAGACTGCGATGTGAAAGGACGACAAGACATCTGTCAGAAAAGCTGCCACTTCTGATGTGGTAGGTGCACAGCTTTTCTAAACAGCAGGCTCTCAACCAATGGGCGGTCCCAAGGAGTTTGTGTTCATTTTAATATAGTCTTTTCCAACAAAACACAAACTCAAGATTTGGCAAACTAAATTTGGATTTTCTCTCAAAATTCATAAGCTTTTAAAGAAGGCCATCTTCAAGGAAGAACAATACTCATGCTCAACAAAGGGACCTGATAAAGTGTTGAAGCATCTTTGTTGAGTTTGAGTTTTGTTAGTTTTGCAACTTGAAATTTCTCAAGAACACTTGCAAAGACTCACTTTCAAGAAGTATTCTCCGGCAAGCACAACTAGGAACTGATCAAGCTGCAAGCATCTGAGTGTGTCTTAGGAGTTATACTTTCGTGCTTATATTGTAAATCTATTCCTAGTCTATAAAGGATTCAGATATTTGTTTCTGTGTGGAAAGGTCTAAGTCGGTTAGAGTTAGCCGATTTAGTGAGCAGTGTTGTATCTGCTCTGGCTCATCTAAGTAATAGGATGTATTGCTTAGAGTTGGGATTAGTAGGCTAATCTCGGTTTGTAAACTTGCTTTTACTTTTGCTTGGAGAAGATTAGTGAAAGAAGTTTGAAAAGTCCTGGGAGGCCAGGTCGTGGTTTTACTCCCTTGAGCAAGGAGGTTTCCACGTAAAGTTGTTGTGCAATCTTTACTTTCAGCACGTTTATTTTCTGTTATTTTAACCGTGCTGAGGACCTGGTCCCATCTAGACCAGTGGACGCATACATTCCAACAAGTGGTATCAGAGCAGGTGCTCTCTAGCTGGTTAACACCAAGAGAGATTCCTATGGAAAGAATGGCTGCTCCACTGAGATGGCAAGAAGGTCGGTCTTCAACAAGGCCACCCTTGTTTGATGGTAAGTATTACCGGTGGTGGAAACATTGCATGTTTGACTTCATAATGGCTGAAGACTGTGAGCTGTGGGATGTTATTTGTGAGGGTCCCTATGTGCCATCTATAGAAGTAAAATATGAGGATGTCACAAGGGTCGTTGTCAAAACTCGACAGCAATACAATGAATTTGACAAACGAAAAGTTGAGAAAAATCACAAGGCTAAGAAGTTCTTAATGTGTGGAATCGGACCTAATGTATATAATCTGATTTCTTCGTTCGAATCAGCTAAATAAATTTGGGATCTGCTGAGAACTACCTATGATGAAGCTGAGGAAACAAGGGCAGATCTGACTGGGGATGCTGATCAAAAGGGAGATGCAGAAAGGTATGAATCACTAGCCTCCAAGGTGTCACAATGTGAGAACCTTGAAGTAGATGAGACCATGGACTATCTCACTCAAAAATTTCAAAAACTTGTGAGTAAACGTGGAGGTTCCATGAAGGAAGAAGCTCATGATAGCGCTACAAGCCCTAGTGGCATGTGTTACAAGCGCGATCAACCAAGTCACACCATGAGAGACTATCTTGTGCTTGAAGTTGATAACAAGGAAGTAAAAGATCAAGAGGGGGACCAAGTCCGTGCCAGCAGTAGCAGAAGAGAAACCTTTTTCCAGACGGTAAAGAGGGAGATGACTGCATGGGAAGACTTCTCGAGTGTTTCAGATGACTCTGAGCACTCTGATGAAGCCTTTATGGCAAAATCTGATGATGAAGAAGATGAAGAAGAGGTAACCCTTTCTGATCTTAAACAAAACTTGCATGTTTACTGTGTTAAGAAGTTGAGAAGTCTAGCCGTTGTTTTGATTGACTCTTTCATTGAGTTAACAACTGAAAATGATCTGATGAACAACAGCCTAGATATCCTTCGGGAAGAAAAAGTAGCCTTGGTTGACCAAATGTCTGTTGTGGAAGAACAATTGATGGTTCCAGAAGCTGAAAATCTAGAATTTAGGGAAAAATTAAAGATGATGAGTGAGAAGTGTGGCAGAGGAAAGGGGGAGGTCAGCAGCTTGCAAATCGAGCTAGAAACCAGTTTGAATACTGCTGAAACAAAACTTGCTCTGGCCTTGGAGAGAAATAATCAGTTAGAGAGGGACCTGGTCCGTGTCAAGGAAGAACTGAACAAATCTCTCAAGTGGACCAACTCTTCAAAATTCCTTGCAAAGCTTACCAGTCAAGGTCAAAATGATACGAAGGGGTTAGGAAATTTAAGCAAAAGTTCTTCTTACAATCTCCATGGCAAAGATGTGTCCATGTCTGATAGTTTGTCGTGTCTCCATTGTAGTCGCGATGGTCACTTGAAGAAGGATTGTCTATCTTGGAAAAGGACCCAAGATAAACTCTCAAAATATTCTAAGCAGAGGAACAGGAAGAAGAAGGGACCTGGTCAACAGAGCAACAAGCAGAAGAAGAGACCTGGTCAACAGAAGAACTGGCAGAAGAAGAGACCTGGTCGTGCTCCTGTTCCTACGTTGAAAAAAATCAATCTGCCTCACTGGACAAAGAATTCTCTTATCGCTCCTTTATCTGCTTACTGGGAACTCCAACTAAAGTGGGTTCCCAAGGCTAACAAGTGATATGGTATTCTTGTGAGAAGAAGTAGCAGCAGTCAGCATTGATTCATGAATTGTGGATGCTCAAGGCACGTGACTGGGAAACTGAAAACTTCTTCTCTCTCAAGGCACTTCAAGGTGGAGGTGTCTCATTTGGCGATGGCAGAAAAGGTATGTTTTTTTTTGTGAAGGCATGATTGGGAAATCTATGGAACACACTATTGAGAATGTGTACTATGTCAATGGTTGAAGTACAATCTTTTAAGTGTTTCATAGATTTGTGATGAATGAAACAAAGTTAAGTTCTTATCGGAAAGAACATGTGGTCACATACTTGCTCTCTCGGGGATGATTTGATAGAAAAGAGATGCAAGAACATATGTATTGCTGATCTGATTGATGTTCGTTGTGACAGTCTCACTTGCCTTAATGTTCAAAGTGAGAATGCTGAGGTATGACATGAGAGACGTGCTCTTGTAAATGTTTCTCCACTGCACAAACTTGTGTCAAGGGACCTGGTCCTCGATATGCTCAGAATAAAATTTACCGATGACAAAGCTTGTGATGCCTGTGTTAAAAGAAAACAGATCAGACCATCCTTCAAGTGGAACATACAGGCTGTTAATTTTACAAAGGACTTTTGGGCTGAAATGGTGAATAGTACATGTTTTGTGACCAAAATGATGATATTGAGAAGTGTAATCTCAATGATGTTGAAAGAGTAGTTGTGGAATACTCTTCCTTTAGTAAGGCTTATCCGGTGTATAAACAATGTGTTGAAGAGAGCATGCATGTGACTTTTGATTAGTCTGAGAAAATTGATGCTCATAAGGGATACCATGAGATGGAGAAGCGAATCAAGGAAAGGGAAGACAAGGATATCCTAAATCCTGGAAACAAACAGGTTGCAAAGGAAATTGTTGCAGATCTCACAGGAGCACCTGGTCCCTCTGATACTACCTAGAAGGTTCCATCTCAAAATCATGAAGTTGATGATGTTGAATCTGATGCTGAAATCGAAGAAGAGTTGATCATAAAGTCTGGATGGAAACATCAATTCTCACATCCATTGGACAATCTCATCTCTCCACTTGACTCTGAAATTCAAACTAGATCCAGGACAAGAAATCTAGTTGCATATTCAGCCTTTATGTCAAGAGAAATACATCAAGGAACTGCTTTGAAAGTTCAATTCGATTGAGGCAAAAGTTCTTGACACTCCCATGAGCACAAGTGTGAAGCTTGACTTAGATGAAGATGGAGTTGAGGAATGAGTGCAAGATTTCAAGCAGCACCAAAGGAATCCCATCTAAAGGCAGCTAAACGTATCTTGAGATACTTGAAGGGAACTCAGGACCTGGTCCTCTTCTACCTAACAAGTGACTCACTTGATCTAATTGGTTTTGCAGATGCTAACTATGCAGGCTTTCTTGTAGATCGAAAAAGTACATCAGGCATGGCACATTTTCTTGGATCATCACTGATTTCCTGAGGGACAATGTTGAGAAGCAAAATATGTGATGAAGTTCTGTAAGACTAAAGACCAGCTGACTGATATCTTTACAAAGTCATTGAGTAAAGAATGCTTTATTAAAAAACAGGACGAGGTTGGGGATGCACAAGATTACCTGATTCCTTGACAAGTTTGCACAAAAATCTTCTATTTTGATTATGTTATGGAGGGCAGGTATCTATACTTGTTTTAATGCTTGTCACTTAAGAATTCACTTCTGGTACCTTAATGCAGGTATACACTCATGGTGTGTCTAGCTGAAGGGAAGATTAAATCATACAGACAGGGTTGCAAACTGAAAAGGGGACCTGGTCCTCCTAAGGTTAGTATCACTTACGCTACACTGTCTGTATGTCAACATCACTGCCACGTGTCCCTCGCCCATTCATCGCGTCAGTTTTAGATGTCTTTTCGCTTTTAAACCAAAGGTTGCTACTGTTGGGGACCCGATGTCTTTTTGGTTTTATATACTACTTCTCTTAGTGAATCAAATTACAAAATCTCATCAAACAATTCTTGTTGAAATTCACTAATCCCCTTTCCAAAGCTTTTCTCTCTTTCTCAAAATGTCTAACTCTAATTTTTCTTCAAAGATCCCTATCTCTCAAGAAGTTGAAAACCTTAGTTCATTCAACTTCTCATTTTCTACTCCAGAAGGTTGCAAAGAAATCTCCTGTGAAAAGGGAGAAAGTTAGAAAACAGGTGGCTGAAAATTAAAACTCATAAAGGGACCAGGTTCTAGGGTGTAAAATCAAAGTGAAGAAAAGAAAATGACAAGAGAGGAGCGGATAACGGCAATGGAATATCAAATCTTTTTG